CCCCTTTTGCTCTCACTTTCGTGCCTCTGCACGCCGGCGAATACGTCCTACGAGAACCCCGGAGACACAAAATTGCCCACTCCGCCCCTGCTCAGCCGCAACGAAAACGACCAATAACTAAAAAACACACACACTAAGAAGCAATAAAGAAAAACAAGCAAAAAAAACATTATGCTAGAAAGCCTAAGAACGGAATAAGGAGTGTCCTACGTTCCTTTACAAAACAACTTGGAAATGGCTACCTTTTTCTTTTCCTCCTTCTTTTGAGTCTCCTCCTCACCTTCCCCTTTCTCGCAAGCGTGGGATCTCGTATCGGCATGTGGGACACCGGTTACTTTCTTTCAGCCACTTTGCAATGCAACCGTGATGAAATACGTGCCCACAGCCAATCTTAAGCACCATTGTTCCGGAGGAATATTCCTCTAGGCAGATTGGACATGCTTCCCCACCCCCTGCAGACCTCTTACCTGACTCCCTTGTACCGCTCTTTTTTGGCTCCACGCAGGAGTAGGGAACAGCCCTCATTCCACGAATCTGTTGTAACGAAAGCCCGGCGGGTTTGTTGCCCTCGTCAAGCTGTAGCAGGTTTTCGAATGAAAAGTCATCAATCTCCCAAACACCGCTATTGCCCCCACGTGACCTTCTCGTTCGGTTCGCTGCGGTGACCTGGGTAAGTGGCTCCCCTCCCTGTCCCGTAATGATGTCATATGCGACACCGCTCCTGTTTTGCTGAGAGCGATGACGGGGCTGCAGCGCCCCCCTCTCGACATGCGCAGTAAACTGAGGTGATGCATCTGCTGGTACCTGCATGGACACCGCAACGCGAGTATAGGTGGGAACTCCACCGGCGCCCCCTGCTCCGCTCGTTGAGGAGATGTGTAAACTCTCTCCTCTAAACGCAATGGCGGAGTTTCCTACGGATGCGTGCTGGTCAAGACCTAGGTTCATCATTTCATCCATGTACGAGACAAGCTGGGAAACATGTGGATCCAACCCGGAGTTCGCCAAGCGCGCAAGCGAAGAGTCGACATGCGCTGCACGGGGAGCCTGTCGCTGCAGCTGCTGTGTGTGCTGCTGAGCGACAATTCTTTCCGGAGCCGGCCGTCGAGCCGCGGGCTCCGAGTTCGGATTGCTGCGCGGAATCAGCTGACCTCGCTGCGTTCGATCCCATTGCATCTGAGCCGCCTCCGCTCGCGAGTTCACAAGGCCACGCCGACTTCGGGAGGCCATTTCACGGGATTCCGCCTCTCGTCTGAGCCGTATCGCCCGAGGGACAGGGAAGCTGTCCTCCGGAAGAGGCCACGCCAAAAACAAGGATGCCGGGTGGTGCAACACACGTAGAGCCTCGTTAATTTGCTGCTGCGCAGCGACGTGGGGGGGGATGGCGTTCACCCAATCAATGCCATCGTTGAGGTCGCCAAAGTTGATGCTTTGCAACGGCATCGTCGTTTTTTTCTTCCTTTTTTTGACCGCACTTTATTGCAGCTATCGAGCACTCTTTGCACGCAATAGAAACAGGGGGAAAACAAAAACAAAAGAAAAACAAAAGGGAACGAAGGCGAAGGGCAAATGCAAGGATTTATGCACGTGTGTAGCGACAGGCAAGATACACACACACACACACACACATACCTTTGAGGAAGCCGCGTATGCATCCGTATCTGAGGGGCAAGAAGGGAAAAGGCAACGACGGCACAGACCCACCTGTCGCGTCGCCCTGCCAATCGAACAAAACTGCCATCCGCACGCACGCACATACACACACACACACACACAGAAGCGCAAAAAAAGCTTGGGACCCGTGAGTGGGTGGGAGGGAAGAAAGAGTTAGAAGCAAGGGAAGAGATACGAGATGCCCCGGTGGGCCTCGCTCTCCGGTTGTACAAGGAACGCAAAGGTGGGATGCCGCTTTCCCCCCCCCCTCCCCGCTCTCAGAACAAAAAAAAAAAACTAGTCTTACGCACGGGGGTAGGTGTGGTGACCGGAAGGAAGTCCCGCAGTGAACGTCACTGGCGGGTTGGGCAGAGGTGGGGGCAGGTCCGAAGACCACGCCTGCACTGGCTGCACCATGCGACGATCCTCCCATGCCGGCGTCGACTCCGGCTCCTTCTGCCCCGACGGCATCACCTCCTCAGCTTCCACCACACCTTGGCGTTCATCAAGCCTTTGCTTTAGCTCAAGCACCTCCGCCTCATACTGTTCCATGGTGGCCTGGGCTGTCTGCAGCCTTCGCTGGAGCGTGACATGCTGTCGGGACATGGCGCTTCCGCTGGGCGCGGAGCCCAAGAGACGCTTGGTTAACATCTCAGCATGCTCGCGGAGCTTCTGCTCGCTTAGCCGCAGTTCGCGCAGCTCTCGCACAAGATCCATGTGCTTTGACAAACTCACTGTCTTCGTCTTCAGCACTTTGTTCTCCTTCTGAAGACGCTCCACCACAAGCTTTAGGTTTTCCACAACCGACTCCAACGCCTCCACGCGGCTCCGCTGCTGAAAAGTCCCCGTGCGTTTCGTGTTGGTCGAGTCCACCCGAAGGATGTCCTCAATATGACGCTCCAGACGCCCAGCCTTGAGCTGCAGCGCCTCACGCTCGAAGCGAAGGTCCAGAATGATGCCGTTCTTTTCCAGCAACTCCCGCTCCAGCGCTGCACGGTCACCCAAGTTCTCCGCCCCAGACGACGTCGTCGGGAGTTGCGGCGTGGGCATGAGCTGATGGCGGCTCCCCAACTCCGCTGTCAGGCGCTGGTTCTCCGCCGCCAACTCGTCGGCGCGGCGCTGCAGGTTGCGCAGCTGCGTCTCCTTGTTGACGCTTAGCTCGCGCCGAAGGGAGTCAATGACGCCCTCTAATTGGAGAACATTCCGCTTGTAGGAACGTACATCAAGCGGGGAAGCCATGTGGGCTGCATCCACCGACTCCAGCTGCTGAGAACGCAGATCTGCAAGCTCCTTCTTGTAAACCTCTGCCTCAGCGACAACGCTGTCAAACGCCACCACGCGCTTCTTTAGCCGCTCAACCTGACGTCTGAGCTGTTCGTTCTCTTCCCGCTGACGCCGAAGCTCACCCTGCTCACTTGCAGCAGCTGTAGCTGGCATTGGGGCAACGACCACCGCAGAATCCGTGGCAGGGGGTTTACTTGAACCCGTTCCGGATTTGCTTTCAACCTCCTGACGCTCCTTGGCGCGTCTCTGCTGACCCACGGACTCCCGTGCCATGGCAAGCTCCTTTTCCTCAAGTTCTCGCCGGGCATTTTGAACCATAACACGCAGGGAGCGGCTCGTGTCACGCTCGCCACGCAGCTGTTGACGAGCCTCTTCCAAATCGCTTTCTAGACGGCGCACATCTGCCCGTAACGACGATATGTCATGCATGTTGTCGCGCTGCGCCTTGTCAATCTCTCGCCGCAGCATTGCTGCTATCTGTGGCCTGGCGAGAACATTCGCGTCAACGTCCACAAGCAACCCACGCGTGGGTGCGGAGGGGGAACGTTGCGCCGGCCGACTTTGCGGTTTGTCGTCGTCTCGCTTCCCTGCTCCTTCGAGCTGCGGAGAAGTCCTTGACCCAACCGCCTTCCCGGGAAGGACCCGCCTCCCCTCTTGCGCAGTCTGCAGTTCTTGCGTTCCCTCTGCGCCGCCGCCTCGCACTCCAGTCGACGACGACGCAGGACGAGCAGCCAACTCGCGCTTGAGACGCAATATCTCTCGCTCCCGCTCCTGCAGCTGTCGGTGCAGGTCGTAGGCCACCCGCTGTGCCTCCTCGTGCTTTCTGAGGGCCTCCTCCTCCCGGAGGACCTTCCCCTCAAGCTCCCGCTGAATCGTGTGCAGCCGCTCATTCACGGCCCTCAGCTGCTCCGTGGATTCCAACTGAATCGACCCCATCCGCTGCGCCAACGCAATTTCGTGCTGTTGTCTGCGGGAATCATCCCCGTGCCGTTGTGCCTGCTCAATCAACTTCTCCTTCAACATTTTGGTTGCAAGGATGAGCTTCTCGTTCTGCTCCTCCATCCGCCGCACGTCGGCGTTAAGGCCTTCGTTCATAGCGACAAGGTGCCGAGCGCGCTCAACGTCAGCCTGCTGCTGTACAACTTCCTCACGCAGGGCATCGAGATGGGATCGCCATTGGCTGGTGTCCGCCTGCAGTCGGCGCGCACTTTGCCGCTCTTCCTCCAGCTGCGCCCGCGTCTCTGAGAGCTGGCTCTCCACAAAGGCCAGCTGCACCCGTAATTCTTGCTCCACCGACGGATCCGTCACGCCCACCGCGGTGACGCTCTTCAGTGCCCCACCCTGTTCCACTACAAGCTGGCGGGCCTCGTGCAGCTGTCGCTCCATCAGGTCACGCTCATTTCTATACCGCTGCAGCTCAGAGGTGAGAGTAAACTCTCGCTGTCGCAAACTCTCTATAATGGCATTCTGGTCAGCAATGACACCAACCACTGAAGCCTCGCCCGGGAGCTCTCGTTGTGCCACCTGCTTGCCGCCATGAGTGGACTCTTGCTGCAGCAGTTGATTCTGCGCCTTTGCAACCTGATCGTTTAGCTGAGCCTCAAGCATAACATTTGTCATGCGCGCGTCCTTTAATTCCGCCTTTAGACGCAGTGTCTCTTTCGTGAGCAGGGCAAGTTGTGCCGCAAGGCCATCAGGAGACGCGTCACTCACAGACGCCCCTTGTGCCGCTGGGTCGTACGCGGAGTTATCCGTGACACCGTCAATTGCCTCGCGGAAGCGTTCCATCATGGCATTATTCTCCCTAAAGAGGTGGTCGTGTAGGCGCTCCATGCGTGAGGATTCCTCAAGCTGGTACTCAAGATACTTTCTTCGCTCCACCTGAAGCTGGTCCTGGAGTTGTTTGATGCATGCCTCCTTATTCTGCAGCATGTCCTGAAGGCAATGGCTGTTGTGCTCTGCGGCGCGTCGCGTTACCTCGGCTTGTGCCTCGTGTGAGCGTATAATTCGCCGCTCGCGCTCCTCAGCCTTTTGGCGCTCCTCCTCCAACTGCCGCTGCGTGTACTGCAGACGTTCCTGCAGGCGATTCAGTTCCTCCTTCAGGGACTCCGCCTCAGCACGGGCCCGCTGGGCCTCCGCGGTTTCGCCGTCAAGTCGCTTTTTAAGCGAACTACATTCCCGCGCCAATTCAGCCTGCTTGTCAAGAGCCGTTTTATACTCTCGAATGGCGGCGTCGGTGCCCCTGTCAGCAACGTCTTGCAGGCCACCCGATTGCACAACGAGTGCCGGCGACTCCACCTTCGCAAAGACCGTTTCCTTCAACTGCAAGAGCCGCTGCAAGATGTCTTCGTTAAGCGAGACACCACCAGTCGCCCGCAACTCCAGCCGGGTCAATTCCTCGTTCAACTGCCGTATGTGCGACTCCGCCCTTTTCAACTTTTGCTGCGCGTACTGATAGTCCTCCTGCAGCTCTACAAGCTGCATGTCTTTCTCGCGAACTGCAGCAAGTGACGAGAGCAGTTTGGCATGAAGTGCGTCTTCGCGCTCCTCGGCGTCCTTGGTGTTGAGAAGGTCTAATTGCTGCTGAAGAAGCGTCACCATTCCGCCACTCTCAGCGAGCCTTGCCGCCATCTCCTGCTGCTGGCTCTGGCTTCGCTCAAGGTCCGTCATGGCGTTAATGAAACGTTGGTGCATCATCGCCACACGATGCGGGGACATTGCCCCTTTAGTGTCTCGTTGCCGGCCACGAACGTAGTCCAAGACTGCGACCATCTGTGAAACATAGGTCCGGTAGAGGCGGAAAGCACTAAGCCTGTACGCGGTAGCCTCATTTACGGCTACACGCAGATTGGCCTCTGTGGCGGAAAGTTGCATTCGAGACCGTTTTGCCCGAAGCAACGCCAATTCACTCTGCCGGCGTAACGCTGCGTGCTGTTGAATAGCAGCTGAGACAAAGTCGCTCACCTTTCGTGAGTCTCCCGCGTCTCGCACCAGCGAGAGCTCCTGCTTTGTGGACTCAAGCTGAATCTCAAGACGCTTGCACTCCCCTTGTAAATCGAGAGAGTGATGCAGGAGCCCTAAATTGATAGACTTCAAACGAGCAACATCACGCTCTAGCTGCCGCAGCTTGCCATCCGCAGTGATGCCGTGGACGACTTGTTTCATTTCAGGTTGCTGCTGGAGTTGCAATTGCTGCTTTTGTGGCGGTGATGATGATGATGATGATGATGATGGTGGTGGTGGTGATGGCCCTTCCACATGTTCTTCCTGTGTCGGCTGTTGCTGCTGCTGCTGACGCTCCTGGGGGAGAGCTCCTACTGACCGTGTGACACAAGCCATCGCATCGCCTCGACTGCCGCCGCCGCTGTTGTGCAGGTGCTCCTGCAGCAACGCCAACTCCTCCCGGGTCTCAGCAATTTCAGCCTCGAGTGTGGACACCTCTCGCTCCCTGTCCTCGCAACGCTTCATGTAGAGGCTACACTTTTGACGCCACGTGGTGGCCTCCGTTTCCCACCTTGCGGCCTGGGAGGCGTCACCGCCCTGCGTCCCTGGAGCCGCTTCCCGCACCTTCCGGAGCCCCTCCAACTCGGTGCGCAATTCACTGATCTCCTGTTCCATCTCTTCCACCTGCTTTCGTCGACGCTTCTCGTCGACTCTGAGGGCGTTCTCCTCTTCGGCGTGCTCCACGCTGCGATAGACCTGGCGAAGCTGCAGAAGGTATGCAGAGTCCTCCTTAAAGAGTTTTCCTCGTAGTGCCCCGTCAAGACGCTGCCGGACGTCGTCAAGGAGGTCATTCTCCACGCACACCCCGCCGGAAGAACGTGGGAGAACGAAGCCAGTGGAAGTATCCTCCAACGCCTCCTTTAGCGATTTGAAGGTGGTATTGACATACTCTCGCAGCGTCTGCTCCGACCGCACCGCCTCTTCTTGTGTTTCTCGCACACGACGCAAACGCTCTAATAACTTGCCTTCACGTTGTCGTAGCAGAACTATCTTCTGAAGGAGTTGCCGGGTGTTGTCAGACTCGAGGTGCTGCACCGTTTGCTGGAGATCCTCGAGCAGCCTCGTTTTTTCCTCCAATTTCCCGCTAAGCTCCTCGTTCATTTGTTGGATGGCAGCGACCTGATTCCGGAGATCCTCCCGCGCCGCAGACACCTCTGAAAGCCGCTCCGTGGCTTTCACCTCCGCCGCCTGGTGCTCCGCCGCCTCCTTCCGTGCCGCCTCGATGGCGGCCTTAAGGGAAGCGATAAGCCCATCCTTCACCCGCAGTTGCTCCTCGAAGGTGCGGGAGATGGCGCCAAGAGGAACAGCTCGCGCGGCATGCACATTATTCTTTTGCATTTCCGGCAATACCGGTGACGGGGGTGCTTCACTGGCTACCCCCGAAACAGGTGCGGCTTCCGAGGGTGTCGCTAAAGTTTCCGCATTTGCTTCACGCCGTTCAACGGTGGGCACAGCGGACGGTGTGACGCCGAGTGCCTCAAACACCGCGGTACGGTATCGATCGCGTTCGTCTATCAGCATATCCCGCTCTGCGGTCACAGCTGCCAATTGCTCACGCAACACCGCTTGGCAGGCAGCATTGTCCTTGATGGTCAGCTCCGACTGCTCCAGAAGTTGGGCTGCGCTGCGAAGCTGCATACGCAGCTGTGCGGCGTCCAGTGGCGGCTCTTGTGCCGAGTCCATTAGTGGACGGGCGGCGATGAAGTCAAAACGCTCCCGCAGAGTATGCAACGCTGAAGCGGCGTCAGGAGCCGAGTTTAAATCAGTCTTCCCAAGCGCTTCTCGCAGAGCTTCCTCAATTCGGTGTCGAACAAAGTCGTTGAAATGCTCCATCTCCTTTCGCCGAAGCTGCAGCTCGTGAAAGTACTTCTCCTTGTAATTATCATCCCCATCCTCTTCGACAACAAGTCTGCCCGACCTCATCTGATCCACCATGTGGTCCAGCTGCTTCAGCTGCTCCGGCGAAAGGCCCAACTCGAGCCGAAGCTTTGTGTCAAGCAGCGGCTGCAAACGAACCTTGTCCATCCAGTGTCGCCGCTCCTTTTCCAGCCACTCCACCTCATCCTTTAAGGTGGCAACCTCCTCGCGCAGCGTCTCCACCTCACTAAAGAGTGGTGTATTCTTGGGACGAAGACGATCAATTTCCTCTTGTGTAACACCGATGCGGATGCACAACTCCTGCAGCGCTGCCGAAAAGGTTAAGGAATCCTCCATCGCGTTAAGTCTCTCGCGCAGCTGCGCATTTTCATCTTGAAAAAGTTCTATGGATCGGTTAGCGTCGGCCAACTCACCGCGTAGGCGGCGAAGCCCTTCATTACCGCGCTCGTACTCACTCAAAAGGTGCTGAATTTTAATAACTTCGGCGTCTCGTGCCTCGGCTCGAATTTCCATCTGCTGCAACTCTGCTGCCAGTCGATCATTCTCCTGTTGAAGTTGCTGTCGGTCCGCGAACAGTTTTTGTCGGGTGCGGTTGCCCGGCTCAAGTTTAGAATAAGGAGAGACATTTGGTAAAACGGATAATACGCTTGTACTGCCAGATAATAAATTTTGCACCACGGTCGCACTGTCTTCCGTGGTGTCACGCTCTGAGCGATGCCCCGCAACAAAGCGCCGTTCTAACCGTTTCCGCAGCGTAGAATTTTCTTCCTCCAACTTTTTTAACGATTGTTGAAGCCCCTGAACGCTCTCCTCCATGCGTTTTTGGCTCTCCTTCTGGACTTTTTCCAACTCCATCGCGAGCTCCTGGGAATGTTGCTTTTCCTCCTCAACGATATCCTGGTGAAGCTGCTGCAGCTCGGTCATGTCTCGTAGTGCCTCTGCCTCCCGCCTTTCGCAAAGCTCCTCTGCACGGTCACGTGACTGGAGCAGATTATAATTTTCCTGCTGAAGGGTCCGCACACGATGACGCAGTCGATGCAGTTCACCTTCCTCATCTCGCCCCCTCACCTCTTCTGAACGCTGCAATTCCCGCAACATCTCATCCGTCTTTTTAGCATTCTCTATAAGACGTTTGTGCTTTGCGACAAGATGCTCATATTCGAGGCGAAACTTTTTATCTTCACTCACGATATGTCGCTTTTCTGCATTCAAGCGTTTAATCACATGACAAAGTTCATTGTTTTCTTGTCGCAAACTGTCTAATTCTCGTGCAGACTTGGCCAATTTCTCTCTGCTGTGTCTCTTTTCTGTCCCGGAATCTTGATGGAGGGAGGAAACCGCTTCCTTTGCCTCACCCTCGTTAAACCCCTTCTTCTCCATTAATGCCCGAAGTTCATTATTTTCGCTCCGCAGTAGCTCTACATGAGCCCGAACAGCATCCTCGGCATTTCGGGCAGCAGACGCGGAGGTCTCGAGATCCTCCTTTTCCCGCTGAAGACGTTCTAAATTGAGCTGAAAGTGCACGGAAATTAGACGCAGCAAACGCATAATAGCAGTTGTATAATGTGGCTGTGAAAAATGTTCATCATCTAAACTCCACTTCATTTTGCACAATTTCTGAACGCACGCAGTGAGCGCAGGAGTGTGCTGTGCATGCTCCCACTCATCAAAAGGAAGTGCGACAAGAGCCGCCCAGTCGACATCAACGTAATCCTCCGAGGGATGCTGGCCCACTTCAAGTGGTTCCCTGCTCATCGACCACTGAAGACTTCTACGCTTCGTAAAGGGCAAAATTAATAATACCAAATAAATAAGACAAAGACAAGGACACGGTACTAGTAAACACTGAGAAATAGCAATAAAAAAAAAAGCGTCACATCAACGTCATAATCATAAATAAATAAAAATACAGTGTGTGTTTGGTATTTCAAAACTTTGACGAAAGTGTGGAACTCCTCCGTTTTTACATGAAGCATATCCATTCAACGGTTATTTATCCACCATAAATGTTTTTCTTTAAAGGTAATATGAGTGAGAAGCAAATGGATTAAAAAAGAAAAAATATATGATAATAAAAACACAATAAAAGGGGGAAAATAATTAAATGAATAAAAAATAACAAGAATAAAATAATAAAGATACAAACAACAATTTATTTGCTTCATACATAAATATATATATATATATATATACAACAACAATTTAGCACAACAAAGACAATACGACAAAAATTGAATTTTATATATTTCAGCCAAATCAAATATACTCTCTCTCTCTCTCTCTTTGGAGGACATCCAATTATCCTGTTTCGTCAACATTAAAAGCGCCAGCTTACATAAGCATACATAGACTCGGATACATAAGTCGTAAAACAGCCTATCAGTGTATTCTCCAATAGTAAACAAGAATCCGCACAGATTCAAACGCCAAATTACATTATTGTTATCAGTATCATTTGTTTTTAAATTAAGAGGATGTGAAAAAAAAAAGTTCCATGGCACCACCATTCACCGCTCTTTTCCACCACCAGCACCAGAGCCAGGGCCAAGGAGAAAGGGATGTCGGCTCCATATGGCCTTGTCTCAGAGGAACAAATGCTTTGAACGTACTGGAAAAGGGAATTGCTGTGTTACTACCTCATTTCTCCTACCTTCTTTGGGTAGTGCTACGGATTGAGCTTGTATCTATTATGGCGATCTTCAAAGGACACGAAAAAAAAGAGAAATAAAAAAAAAAAAGAGAGAAAATAAATCAATAAACACACAACAAAAAAAAGTAATCAACCAAACAAAATAAGTACAGTCTGAAGAAGTTGCTCAAATGCGCAAACGCGTGAGCAATATCCATCCAGTAACATGAAAGACGCCTTGACCCCGTCAATGATCACGCAGCACAGGTGCTTTTGACTATTGTCAACAAATCACAACACATAACCCTGCTGTTCCTCACAGTATATCTTTTCAAAAGACAACTTCTCGAAGATCAAAGCAAAGGTCAAGGAGACTCAACAGATTCAACAATATAAAAAGGAGGATGAAAGTTGTATATTGAAAAGCATAACCGGCAAGTTATATACATACAAATATATATAACTAAAAAAAATCCTGTCCAGAATTATAGTGTTGACGTAATCTCTCTCCGGCCAGTCAGAAGAAAAAGAAAACAAAAACAAAAAATGACTTTTGTCTCCGAAATCCTTTAAGCCTTCCTTTTCTTGCCCTTCCTCTCTTCACCCTTGCGATCAGAATTCCCGCCCTCAACAGGCAATCAGAAGGAGGGGGGGGGGGGGTAAGTATTGGAGACACAAAACCACAACAAGAACGTCCTCAGGAACATGGGCCTCACACATTCCTTTCTTTGCATCGATTCATGGGAAAACAGTTGTAAATACAGCCGGAGTTCAACTACTTAGCGCTACTGTGCATAACGCCTAAAATACATGAGTTGCTTTGTCTCACTATCACTTTTTTTTTCTCCCTCTGCTCAGTTCCCTTTGCGTACCTGACCTTCCTGTATTTGATTTTTGAGTTCTTTTTTTTTCGCCCTCTTTTCTTATCATAGACAATACCAGACAAGCTGAGTCAATGCATTCAGTCGTCCCGTATAATACCTATGCTGTCGACATAACTGCTGGAGAAACTATGAAAGAAAAGGGAAATTTTGCATTCACGCTATAACGACACTTTCCCATGTTCTACAACTCATCGACGCGTTCCGGCTACATCGGTTCTAGCGATTTCACTTTGTTCAGTCGATTCACGCGCTGCTGCCTGCCCCGCCAACGGTGCCAAATCACGATTGACACGAACGTGCTCACCTGGCTTCCAAACCGCCACATCCAATTTATAAACATTGATAAAATCCCCAAGATCTGTCTGAATCGAGGCCTGCCTAAGCATTGGACAAGAAGAAACAAATTGAGGCACAGTCATTGAACTATCGCACAGGTTTCGGACAAGGTCTATAAGAGCGGGAATAGTGTTATCAGCGGATTCACCACCTTCATAATCTTCCACAAGAATGCCATTTTGTTGGTATCCTCGAATGCAATCTGGCGTATTCTCAATGATAAGCACTCTGTCAAGAGGTCTACCAAGAGCGGATAGATCCTTTTGATAACCTGCGTAACCCGTAAACCATTTGCTGTGACGGTATATACAATGGCATATTACCCTTCCCTTATCAATATTTCTTATAATTGCCTGGGCATATGCTCGAAGACCCGCCGTCCAAACAACGACCTCAACACATTTCTCTTTGCAAAGGTTAAAAAATTCGTCCAGCCCAGGACGAGCGTAAAGAGGTCCCTCTCTTGCATATACCAAGGTTTCATCAAGGTCAAGAGCTAAAGTCAGCTTCCCTCGAAATCTTTCTTCCTGTTCGGGAAGAACCCATTTACTGTTTAGTTCCTGATTCATTGAAGGGGCACGTTGTCGAGACCTCCGCGCAACAACGGACTGATACTCCTGTTTAAAAGAAGCCCCACGGATCCGCTGGCGAGGTGGGGTTACCATTATTGCTGTTGTTGCTCGTGCCCCTTTTGCTTTTTACGTATATATATATGTAGATATATAAATGTAGACGAAGCAGCAACTACGGGGAATATGGTAGAAAAAAGAATCGGGAGCCTAAGCAGTTGAAGTAAAAAAAAAAGCTTTTGAAATGTTCTTATAAATAACTACCTAAAGCACATTAAAAAAACGATCAAAAGGCGCAGGACAGAAAGGAAATCCGCAGTATATATATATATATATAACAAGGCAATAAAAGAGGCACGAGATTTCATTCGATTTTGGACACAATAATGCCGAAAGTAACACTAACCAGACGATACCCAATGAAGGCATGCAAACACCATCAACAAAATCAAGAAGAGAATGCTCCCTGAAGCCCGTCGCCATTGTCCCAAAAGAGGGAAAATTCATATCAGCTGCCCAAGCACTACTGTAATCAATTTACAAACTGCAATTAGACAAATTCCCTCCAGCTCGAATAGAAAATGAAATATGAACATTTGTTTCACGGACTCACCCACCGCTAAACCAGGCCAACAGGGGAAAGAAAAAAAAGGACAATAACAGGGGCATATATTGTGTGGCGACCAAGCCAATTTTCAGAAGAGCTTGATAAATAATTCCCTAATTATGTACACATACATATGGGCGAAAAAATAAAAAAAACTTTTTTTTTCGTTTAATTTCCAAAACCCTCAAAAAAGTTTTACAGAGCAGCGTGCCTAGTTTAATTCTTTTTTACATCTTTCCTCCCCAGGAAAAAAAAACCTGTTTCCACAGAATATCATTCCTCATTCCGATACGCAAAGCAAAAATAATAATTAAAACAAAAGTACACAACACTGAAAGTGGAAGGACGTATGGGAAGACGCCGTAAAACAAGAAAAAAAAGAAGCAGCAACAGCGGAGGAGCCCCGATGAAAAACAAATCCGGCCCCCCGGACGCAAGAAGCACCACGCGGGCGCCGCGGGACGCGAGACCCAAACCCAACCAAGACGCGGCGCGGCCCCACGGAAACAGACGGCGGACCCCGCGCGACAACGCCCGCTGCAACACCAGGCGAAATCGGCCGGCAGTCTGGCCGACCCGCCGGTCTTTGCGGTCGTTGCCATCGTTGCCGCTGCCGTTGTTGTTGCGCGCGCCTCTTGGGCCGCCCCTTGCTATCGCCGGCGCGGGGCGTCGGAGGATCCGCGCCCAGGTGGCGGGGCGACCCGTGATTTATTATATATATATATATATA